GTTGAGAATCTTCTTCTAATTCTCTAATCGCGGTTAGGATTTTCTCCTTCATTTATGTAAATCTACCTTTGTGGTGATGAAAATGATGTTATATTGTTAATGTTGTGCCTCTAGTGTATGACCAGAGAAGAACTTTATGTATCATACTATTCTTGGTGATTAGTGGAAGTTTTTGGGGCGATCAGTGGTTTTTTCCCTCATTGGGTTTCCACGGTAAATCTTGGTGTCGTTCTTGCATTTGTCTTCTTGTTATTGAAAGGTTGAATTGTTGGAATATTATTGGTTGTTGCTAGGATTAAGTTGATTTTGGTCGGTTTAATTGTGGAGGAGATATTGATCCTGAATTGAGCTTGGTTCTTGGTGAATTGTTACCCCGGTCCTCCCCAACAAGTTGTTATATGAGTTAATTATCTTTTTTTTTGTGGAATATGGGTTAATTGTCTAGTAAATGGGTTTCGAATGGTAAAGCACAATTCGCTCGATCTCACGCTCGCTCGCTCCGCGCTTTCACCTCAATTTTGGTATAATTTTTTCTAAATTGAGTTAGATATGACAGTATTTTAACAATGTAGATCAAGCCAGTATGGATCACTAGATTTGTATTACATGAAAATAGATCAAAACGAGTTAAATTGATCAATTTGAGTAGAATCATTTTCGATCCCGTCCTAACCGTTTGACGGGTCTATCTCATTGTACTTCCTATATCAAATGGTACCCTTCAAAAACACTTTGAAAACTTTTAATGAACGATGAAGTTTTTTTTTCTTATAATCCAACGGCTAATCAGTGTCAAAGATTTCGATTTTCGGAGATTTGTAGAAGTGTCCAGTTATCAAGCTAGTAAGAAAAAGAGAAGACGGGCAAAGCAAATGTATGTTGACTGTGAGTTTGAACTCTATATTTTATAACTAGTAATTACTAGATCGTTCCTAAAGTTATTGCAATCGTCTAAAAGATAATGGTTTTTGATATATCCAAGGTTACGTCACGTTATTGACCTATTACTAATTGCCTATGAGTTATACTAGTTTTGTATAAATGAAATGGTACTTTAATACATGAAAAATAATTTATGGCATGAACGAATTGCCAATCATGTGAAAATCCTTAATACCGACTACGTTGAAATTGCTGACTTAATTGCCTTTCCAATGGAAAGTAACATGTGAAATTACTAGCAAGTAATAGATATGTAATCACGTTCTCATTGCTAATCACGGTGGAATTACTTGTTTACCTCGTGACACGAAGCTTAAAAAGAAAAAAAAATTTATCCATTTGCTATTCACGCCCCGCGATGGGAATCCTCGTAGGCAAAATATAATCCAAATCACACCCTGCCGTCCTTTGAAAGCCACGTCGACCGAATTTGGCATGAGACTTGATTAAACGTCTTGAAGGACTCGATTAGAATAATTAAAAGTACATGGACTTGATTTTTTAAAAAAAAATAGTGAAAGTACATGGACAAGATGTAGAATTTTCCAAATTAGCATTTATATGATGAACACTAGGCCTGGCCAATGGGCAAACTTGGTCGAATAGCGGGCCTAATATATCATGCCAAGGCGTGTGCATGACTTAATTTCCTTTTACAAAAGACGGGGTCTGGGCAGGTTGGGTTTGTCTCGGGCTTAAAATATCTTACCTAGGCCAGTTCATAATTATAAAAAATCTATACTGAACTTTATTTTTTAAAAATGAACGGGCCCAAGCGGGCCCATGTCGGCTGTATCAGGCCCAATTAGAAAATTGCACTTTTAGACCCGCCCAGGGGAAAATGACACAAACAGTCCCTGAACTTTGACTCAATGTACAATTTGGTCCCTGAACTTTTAATTTGTTCAATGTGGTCCATAAACTTTAAAATAATGTTCAATTGGTCCCTGAACTTTTAATTTGTTCAATGTGGTCCCTGAACTTTTAATATGTGTTCAATTTAGTCCCTGAACCGTATAAAAATGTTCAATATAGTCCCTGCACTTGAATTAATGAAAGGACTGCATTGAACATTTTTAAATAGTTCAGGGACTAAATTGAACACATATTAAAAGTTGAGGGACCACATTGAACAAATCAAAAGTTCATGGACCAAATTGAACATTAGGTTAAAGTTTAGGGACTATATTGAACAAATTAAAAGTTCAGGGATCAAATTGCACATTAAGTCAAAGTTCAGGGATTGTTTGTGTCATTTTCCCCCCGCCCAGTTACGTTTCGGGCCTTGTTGGATCTGGCGGGCTTGGGCTGGCCCAACTGGCCGAAGGCCCATGATCTGGTCTTTGCATGATCATTCTTTTCCAAACTGATGAAGCCCAATCATCCATTGGGTCTTGGGCCCAACCTCATTTGGCATTAGGCGGGCCTCAAATAATTTTAAATCACTCTTGACAATGAACAAATCAAAACTTTCTTCTTAGTCCTTCAAATTAAGCTCGAACTGGAGAGTTCTCGAAACATAAACGAAAAGATCAAACTCGACCTTTTAGGTTCATATATACAAAGACATCATCATGGGATGCGCAGTTCCGCTCCGTCGACTAGGCTCGCAAATTGTCCCGGGCCGTTTGAACTCGAGCTCGAACAGGGGATGATAGTCTTCGACTCATTCCGCGTCTCCGGCTTAGCTCGACATGTCTGCCTCCGACTCCCGTCATTGGACACGATATGGCAAAATAGGAGTACCCCCCCTCGTGATTTTCCCCTCGCTAATGCGAATCGATACACGCGATATAGACGGCTTATCACGAAAGCGAGCGAAAGGGGGCCTAAAATTGAATTGAGCAGGTATCTCGTGACCAAACCCACCCACCAAATCCTATCACCAACTCCATAAATGGTGTGGCCATGCGTGTTCCCCTCTCTAGAAAGATCTCTCCCCGTGCATAATTAAACCCCAAAAATTTCCAAATTTAAAAAAAAAAAATTCCGAGAAAAATGAGAGGAAAAAAGTGGAGGAAAAATCGCATGCACACATGCACTGGCTAGTCGAATTTGTTCCCTTCTTTTAGGACCGTGGCGAACATGTCAGTCCTTAAATCTCGACCGTTGAAACATATGTCCTGCGAAGCTTTCGACCCGAAAAGCGTTGATCGCGACCCCTCTGGAAAACACAACTCAAGATGGACCATCTCGTAATTAACCAAATAAATGCGATCGGATTGCGCAATATCGTCATTCAATTGGGGGTCGTTGCGCGAATTGATGAATTTTTGGACCTTAGCATAGGCGAGAACCGTAGATTGTCGCGACGGACGAGGGCATAATGGACAATGGCAATACTCCCCCTTTTCTCAATTTCTTTTTCAAAAGGAGAGAAGATGGTCAAAACTGGTCGACTTGAAAAATTGAATTGAACCGTTCAAAGAGACGTGGCATCTTTAACTTTGGGGATTCAACAAGGCCAGCCTCCACCTAATTCTGCGCCAAAAGTACTTTTAGGATAATAACACAAATAATTCATCAACTCTGGCTCAATATATAATATGATTCCTGAATTTTTAATTTATTCAATATAATCTATAAACTTTCTGTACATATTCAATGTAGTCCCTGAACTATATGTCGTATTAAATTTTTTTTTTCAATCTGGTCCATATTCAATGTAACCCCTAAACTATATGAAAATATTTAATATTGTATTTCCATTAATTCAAGTTCAGGAACAATACTGAATGTTTTCATTTAGTCCAGGAACTAAATTGAATATGTACCAAGATTCCAGACACCACATTGACCAAATTAAAAGTTCAGGAACGATATTGCCCGTTGGGCTGAAGTCCGAGAATCACATTGAATAAATTGAAAGTTCAGAGACGATACTACAAATTGAACCAAAAGTTAATGGACCGATCATGTCATCTTCCCAAGTATTTTTAAGCCTTCCAATTTCGCATTTAGTTGACTCATCAATTGTCAACTACTTCGACGGTTACATCGCCAATAATTTGCATCGATTATTTATAAAAGGGCAGTTCATTGCGCTTTGAAAGTTAGGGGCAAAGAGCACAGGAGGAAGTAAGAGAGACGGGTGCTAAAAAGAATTAATATTCAGAATATTATTAAGGGTTGTATCAAGAAGAGTCACTCGTTTGAAAGATTCAAACTGTCTTTATAGAGCTCTTCAGAGCTGCAAGGAAGAGATTGTTTACTTGACGAGTTCTTCATGGTTATCTAATTAGGACGTGCATTGATTTCTTGATGTAACACCCGCTTTTGGCGATAGAATTGCAATATAAATCAATATTATGAAAACCGTACAGGGAGCTACGCCGGATAAGCTGGAGATATGCGATCCAATCGATTCGACCGGTCGAGCTTGATTAAACGGGCTGGGTTTACGTACAAAGTATTATATATAAGTTATACATATCGATCGCAACAGTTGTGCCCAGCTAAGCTGGCACAGGTTCGCATCCGATACACACCGGTCACAAATTCAAGTTTTTTCGTGACATGAAAGTTTACGTGCTCTTTTTTTCCTTAAGGAAAGCAAGAATGTGCTCATTAATTATGGAAATAACACTGTCGAAAATTTCAAACGGGTGCATCCGCGATATATTTATCCCGAATTAATTTTCGTGTCACAAAAAATACTAAAATAATGCACCTGCAACAAATCTTTCAAGACTATACCATTCATTAGCTTCTATCAAATACCTCTATTAAATTGCTAACGTGAGAAATACATGGGGCAAGTGACTTGTTTGATATGGATCCGACGTAGAAATTCAACATGAATGGTACTGGTACCGCTCGGGATTGTTGTTGACGGGAAATTTAGCGTGGGATAAATGGGTCACGGATGTACCGGGATCAGTCTAAAGTAAATGTGTAACGAGATTTCACGTACAACTTGGTTCGAGCTCGTGGAGAAGGAACGCGACGAAGGTCAAATGTGTTCCCTTCTTTTGGTTTTTTCCTAATGGCGAGATTCCCATTGGTCCTCGTTCACACCTGCACCGGTGCGACTGCCCCCGTAAAGAAAAGTCAGTCGAAGTCTACCCACGAGCGTCTCCCTCTTTCTTGAAACTCTTCGCACGACATCTCCTGCGTCTTTCCTCGCAAAGCTTATCGTCTGAACTGATGATGCAAAAGTCGTCTTCGCTTCACGGGCTCGCGCACCAGTTCTCAGATCAAGCGTCCTCCGTGTCCCACCAAAAATCTCGCCTTTGCCTTTTTCCCCACCTTTCCAACGCACTTTAGTCACGACCCAAGTTTCGAGAAAGCCCGATAAGGTTCCATTAACGCAGGCAGAGGAAGAGAGAGAGAGAGACCCAGAGGGAGGGAGAGAGAGACCCAGAGATCTTTTTGCGCTGTGCCCATTTGCTCCACGTTCAAGTAGAGCTCAAGAGTTTGGGAGGAGAGCTCCTTGGGGACGACGGAGAAGAGAATGGCTTCCGCGAAGGAGTCGCGCGCTGCCTCGGCGGAGGGCGCGAAGGTCAAGGGAGTCCACACGCATGGAGGCCGCTACGTGCAGTACAATGTGTACGGGAACTTGTTCGAGGTCTCGGCCAAGTATGTCCCTCCCATTCGTCCCATTGGTCGAGGCGCTTACGGTCTTGTCTGGTGAGTGTTTGCTGCGCGGTTTTTGCATTTAGTCGAGAACAACGTTTCCGTGCAAAGTTTTTTTTTTTTTTTGTGGTTGTTTTGTGGGTGAGGTAGAGAATAGAATGCGAAAGGGGTGTTCTTGGTGCCGAGGTTGTAATACAGATGGAGTTCGCTTGCATAAATTCTCTTGAACTTGCGAAACTGATGCAGTCGGTCACTGTAAAAAGCCGAAACGGATGGAGGAGAGAGGCAGTAATTGAACAGTAATGTTAGCAGCGACTCCTTTTTTTTGGTGTGTGTTTCTGTGGATTTTGAGGGGTATCTTCGAAGGAAAGATCATTTTATGAAGAAAGCAAGCTAATCAAATGTTGAGGTGATTACTCGCCCTGAGGACGAACAACTCCGGATTGGCTTTCTTCTTAACTTCCAAGACTTTGTCAGATTCAAAATTACGTGGTCAAGAAGCATAGAACGCGTCAACTGGAATAAGTTTGTCAGATCAACGCCTTGTTCACGGCAGATTATTTGTCTCTTTCCCCCGAATCAAAGTAATGACCTTTTAGGTGTTTTATGGGGAGTAAGAACTGTCTACATATTACCCCGATAAATACCCTATTCAGCTATATGCTTATGATTTGCAGTGAAAAAGGAAAAAAAAGGAACTTTAGTTCATATGATATGGTCTCTCCTCCGTTCATTCAATGCGAAATCCTTTCTTGGAGTTGGTTGTCGCTTTTAATCAGTTTATGCTCACAGGGACAAACAATCAAACTTAGAGGAACATTTGATGCTCTGCTGGTTCTAGAAAAAAAAGATGAGCACTGCCAGTTATCTATTTACTTAGTGGAATGCTGGTTTTCTTTTTTCTCGCTGAAGAGCATATGGTCATTTTCTGTTTAACAACTTGCAGTGCTGCTGTGAACTCGGAGACCAGAGAGGAGGTTGCCATCAAGAAGATTGGCAACGCATTCGATAACAGGATAGATGCCAAAAGGACATTGAGAGAAATCATGCTTCTCCATCACATGGATCATGAGAATGTGAGTTTTCATACACTTGCACTATGCGGTGGATAGTATCACAAACTAATTGAGTGTAACTTCTGTTTATGTGCTCATTTCCTTCTTATGCACTGTGTGGTTCTACTACATAAATCCCTGTCATTTGTCACCCTGTTCTAGCTGCAATTTTGCTCAGTTACGGTATTGATGCAGATTATAGCCATCAAGGACATCATACGGCCACCCAAGAAAGAAACCTTCAATGATGTCTACATTGTTTGTGAATTGATGGACACTGATCTTCATCAGATAATTCGGTCTGACCAACCATTGACGGATGATCATTGTCAGGTTAGAACATAGTTGCAGGCACTGCTGCTTAATGTTAAGTTGTTATCAATAGTGTACGAAGTGCATATATTTTTTTCTTTGGTCGGACTGCAAAGTGCATATTTGATAAAGTAATTCTTTTTCCTCTGTCATCTGAGGCAAATTGAATTTTATCTGGATCATCCACATATAGGATTCATGAAAACTTCTCCGTATAGGATTATAGAATTATATGTGTTCTATAGGAAATGTTCCTCAACAAATCTGGATAGTGCATTAACTCCATACATCTGGATAGAGAATAAATTTTGGGTGGAGAAACTACTAGTCCTGCTTTTTTTGCACTTAAAAGAGTTTACAATCTGCTATTCACTCCCAAATAATCGACAACAAATCATGAGAACTTAAATGAACAAACTGGGCACGTATGAATTATTATTGGCTCAACTTCGACTTCGATTAAGCTATGCAAGAAATGGATGACGGATTTTGAGTGTTGACAGAAAATTGACTAATATTGAATCCGATAGAATAGAAATACAATTGCATTCCTCATACTTGCAATTTTGCAGCTCTCTGTTTTGTCCTCAGCAAGTTGCTCCGGCTAAATTGTTGTAGTTCTAATACTTTGAAAAATCAATGCAGTACTTCCTGTATCAGTTGTTGCGAGGACTGAAGTATATACACTCCGCCAATGTATTGCACCGCGATCTCAAGCCTAGCAATTTGCTTCTAAATGCGAATTGTGACCTGAAACTAGGAGATTTCGGTTTAGCAAGGACAACGTCTGAGACAGATTTCATGACTGAGTATGTCGTCACACGATGGTACCGAGCACCCGAGTTGCTCCTCAATTGCTCAGAGTACACTGCTGCAATCGACATATGGTCTGTTGGTTGCATACTCGGAGAAATTGCAACCAGGGAGCCTCTGTTCCCTGGTAAAGACTATGTTCATCAGCTGAGGCTAATCACAGAGGTAAGAACGTAGGGACATTAGACTGTAACAACTTTCCGAAACACTGCTTTATCTTATTTGTGTGATAGATAACACCAAATTTTTCCTCCAATGCAGCTCCTCTCGTATTTCTTATATTTCTCATTTGGTTGCTGATTTTCTTGAAAGAATATGAGCAAATGTTCGATGAGTGACTCACTATACAAACAGCATCCGTTATATTGACGTTTTTTGTCATGCCTTTATATTGACATTGATAATGCGAAATTTGCGCCTTGTCTCATCTGAAGTTGATAGGCTCTCCTGACGATGCCAGCCTCGGTTTTCTCCGAAGCGACAATGCCAGGAGATATGTCAGGCAACTTCCACAGTACAGGAAACAACAGTTCTCTATGAGATTCCCAAACATGTCTCCCGGTGCCATCGACTTGCTAGAGAAAATGCTCGTGTTTGATCCCAACAAGCGCATAACCGGTACGAGGAGCCAGAAATTCCCTGGGACGCTGTGTTTTCTTCCATTCCCTCCATTGGTTTACTAGATCCCTTACATAAGAATAAGGGTAATACTCTACTTGTGTGTCTGTTTGCAGTTGATGAGGCGCTTTGCCACCCTTACCTAACATCTTTCCACGACATGAACGACGAGCCGGTCTGCCCCAGGCCCTTCAACTTCGATTTCGAGCATCCGTCGTGCACCGAAGAGCACATCAAAGAGCTCATCTGGAAAGAATCCATGAAGTTCAATCCCGACCCCGCCTGATTAGGAACAATCGGACGCAGCTTCGCATACTCTCAGGATAATGTCGTGGAAACGAGTCCTCCTGCGATCCAATTGGCCCGTCGCCTGTTAGCTAGAGCAAGTGGGAGAGGTGTTAAGAGTCGTCTGTTTTTATATATGGGAATTGAAGTAAACTCCAGTATAAGGCGCCTTTGTGAATTGTCATTCTGAGGGAAATTCCAGTTCTCTGGAAATAAGGAGATATAAAAGAGATATGTTAGAGCAGGCTACCTTAATCCTTATGTGAGCTAAACTAACTTGGAATTGAAGCAAAATGAGTACATCTCATTTGTTATGGATTTGGATTTCTGCTTGTTACTGGGACTCTGCAGTTGCATTTGATTTTGTTTCATTTGTTTTTTGGGTGCAAAGTTGCATTTGTTCTAGTTTGTAATACAGTTGGCCTCTTGCCGCACTGATACGAAGATTTAGCCTCATGTCAAAACCCAAAAAGACAGTAAAAGAGAATGAAACGGTAGAGAAATAACGGAGGAGATATGCTCTCTCTGAGCTTGGCATTCTGTATTCTCTTTTTTCTTCTAAAATTTTTATCGCTTTTGATTGCCAAGAACATACTGTGAATTCAACTCTCTGTCATAAAAGAACAAATAAGAGTGTGTTTGGTAACCATTCTGTTCTCGGAAATAATTTCTATTCAGAAATGATTTTTTTTTTATTTTATTTCCGAAAACAATTTCTAAGCATTTGAAGGCGTCTAGTAATTATATTCCTGGAATAAAAAAAGAACAGAAATGCGTTTGGTAATTGCATAAATTTTTTTTATTAATAATATTTTGAATTTTTTAATATTTCTTTTTTTTTTCTTTTCTTTTTTTCTTCTTCTCCTTCCTTGACCCATGGCCGGGTCGCCGGCCACAAGCGAGAGCGAGGGCGAGGGCTGGACCCTCGCCGCCGCCCTCACCCAGGCCGTGAAGGTTCGACGAGGGCGGCCCTCGCCCTCGCCACAATCTAGGCCTAGCCTGTGGCCGGTCGCCGGCAATCAACCAGGAAAGAAGAAGAAAAATTCTTTTCCATTTCTGATTCTTGTTCTCAGAATCAAGAATCAACGATTTTTTTTATTCTTTATTTTTTTTCAAAACTAATTTTGGGAACAAATTTGTGTCTGGAAACAAAAAAATAGAATCAAACACTGTTTGACCGGTTACTAAACAGGCCCTAAAGAGCCCCAAGAGATGTTCTAACAGGATGATTATTGAGAGGTCAAAAGATAGATAACTTGTACATGCAATGCATAAGTCTCTATCACGTCTCATGTGCCCCGCACAACCAGCTTCCCATCCCTAATCACAATATGGCTGTTCAAGTTCGTCCTATGGACACTATACGAGCTTACGAGGGATGGGATGAGCGCGAAAACATGACTTAAGATTTTGGCCGTTGGTCAATTGAGGGATTGAGGCTTTACTGATAAAAGGTTTTGGAAAAAAGCTCAAATCAGGTCTCGAGTTTATTGTCATTAGAATTCAAGTGATGGAAATCATGCATGGCAAATAACCACTATATATTTCACATGAAAGAATACGCATGTAAAGTCTTTCTAAGAATGGCTAGAGATATGACTTGTGCAAGGTTTGACACTTTATTTTTTGTTTAAAAGGAGGGAAAAAAATTCAGGTTGTTGGCCATGACATGCAAGCTTACTCCTTTAATCACATAAAAGTGCACCTAGTAGACTTTATTTGGAATAGGACAGAAAATTGAGGATTCGTTTGTTTTGCGAAAAATGAATAATTTGAAAAATATTTTCCTAAAAATGATCATTTATATCGCTTGAAATAATTAATCCATGAAAAAAAAAATTTCATTATCGACAACAATTTATGTCTAAACATTTTGTGGACGATGAAAATATTTTCATTCATTTATTTTTATAAGTGATATATGCAATTATTTTTAAAAAAATATTTTTCAAATCATTCATTTTTTGCGAAATGAACACACCCAAAGAGGGAAAAATTTTGGAATTAGTTCGATAGGAGCCTCAGGTCAAAAAAGAAAGGGAAAATTTCAAATAAGAGCCCGAATTACTCTTATTTTCTCAAATAAGGGCTTGAAGTGGACTTTGTGTCAAATAACGGCTTGAAATGAACTTATGTTCTCAAATAAGAACATGAAGTGGCTATAACAGTTTCAAATAGAGGCCTCACCCCGCTGGTCGACCAAATTTTCCAGCCAACCAAGGGACTTTCGTCCAAAAATAATTTTAACATAAATTTTAGTTAAATTAGATTTTAAAAAAAAAAAAAAACAGGGGCCAAGGCTGGCAACCAGCTTTCCCCGCCTGTGGCCGTCGCCCCATCGCCAGTGGGGCGGCGGGGTCGCTGGGGCCTTAGCGAGGGTCGGCAACCCTTGCTGGCCATAGACAAGGGCTGTTGGCCCTCGCCAAAGCTGGGAGAGGGCGACGACCCTCTCCCAGATCTGGGCGAGGGTCGCCGGCCCTCGCCCAGGTCTGGAAGAGCGTTGCCAGACCTCGCACAAGGCTAGTGGCCCTCCCCTAGACCTGGGCGAGGGTCGACGACCCTTGCCTCTAGCCGGCGAGAGTCACCGACCCTTGCTGAGGCGTCGGCAGCCCCGCTGGCCATTGCTGCCGCCCCACTGGCGAAGGGGCGGCGGCCACAGGCAGGGCTGGCATTCCCTCTTGGTTTTTTTTTTAAACTTTAGCTTTTTTTTCATTTTTGAGTTTGTTTTTTACGGAAAAAAACTGAAAAGAAAAAAATCAAAAAAATTAAAAGACGAAAATGTCCTTGAATCTAGTGAGGTGAGGCATTTTTTGAGACTGAGATAGCCACTTCAGACTCTTATTTGAAATAATGTTCACTTCAGACCCTTATTTAAGAAAATGATGGCACTTCGGGTCCTTATTTGATACATGGTTCACTTCAGGCCCCTATTTGAGAAAATGATAGCACTTCGGATCTTTATTTGAAATTTTCCCAAAAAGAAATTGCATGAAGAAATAAAATTATATAGAAGTGCAATAAAACATACCGAATCGAATGTTGCTCAACGGTTTCCATAACTAACTAACTATTCACGTCCCTGAAAACAACCTTATGTGTCTTGCGTTTCGATTAATTCTGCAATTTCTCATATAAGATTCAAACACGTCAGAAATTCAAAAAAAAATAACATTTTCCTATCGGTATCGATAATTTTTCCAATTGAAAAAGTGCCTGCCAACTGTAATTAATAATTTTTACACAAGCTAATGGTAAGTTTTCATTTAAGCAAAGGAACTTTTATCTTTATCTTTATCTTTTCTTTTTACCCGAGTAACAAAAACCGGGTCACCACCACCCCCGCCCCCTCCAGACGGGCCGGGTCCCCCCGAGTGCCACGTGGCGGAGAATCGAACCGAGAAAAACTCCCGAACCTTCCTCTTCTTCTTCCTTCTCAAACATCGAACCGGGAAACTGAAAAACTCGCCGCCGTCGTCCCCTCTCTCTCTCGCGCTCCCGCCGCTGGCTCTCGCCGCCGATCGAAGCCAACGCCGAATCAGGTACGCGCAGTTCGATCGGAGCTCTGTTTGCATAGGTTGTAATCTAGGAAGCTACCGATCGTCGGAGCGCCTGAGATCGCCGATCGGTCGGCTTTCCTTCGTGTTTTGCTGCCACGGAAGTTTCATACGGTGCTCCATTCTTTCTTGCTTGTGCGAAATCGAGAGAATTTTCTCCTGGAATGAATCGGGAAGAGAAGATGGCATTGATCTGAGCAAATGAATACGCCTTGCACTCTCTCACGTGAGAATCAGTGAAGCCGGAAGTCTATCTTGATGATGATTTAGAGCTATCGGCATGGCGGAAAGGGACAGCTGACTTGAAAGGCTCCGTTTTGTGAAAAATGAATGTTCTGAAATTCCGAAAAGAATTGAATGATCGCTTTGTATCGCTCACCAAAATTAATGAAAGATGATGTTTTTATCGTGCACGGAAAATTTTAGACATAAATTGTTATGAACGATGAAAATATTTTCTATTGACCGATTATTTTAAGCTATACAAGTGATCGTTTTTTGGAAAATATTTTTCAAATTATACATTTTCTGCGAAACGAACTGAGCTTAAGTAGAGGCCAAACCAAAGCAAGGGTTCTCGTGATGTTTCTTAATTCTCGTTCCATAAATTCCGGTTCTTTTGTCAGCTGGCTATACGATATTTTTCTCTTGTATGCATGGCAGGATTGCTAGGATCATCTCCGAGACGACAATTCTCATCATCAAACGGGTGTATATGCGCGGACCGGCTCTGCTTTTGTCCGCGAAGAGCACGCTGAAGCAAATCAACTGCATTAAAGGATCATGGGGCAAATTCATAGATTCCTTAATTTTTTTTTTCCCCTCAGTATGATTTTACAATCTTGGCAGTAACAACAATACGATAATTTCAGGTATTTTGACGCGTTCGACACCACTTAAACAAGGGAAAAGCGACTCGGGAATGCCAAATCCCCGCGAAAAGACTGAACCCATCGTGGCCTTCAGCAGGCCACCGCCGTTTCCGCCCGTGCTTGGACCACTGGTTCTTCTCTCTCTGTTTGAAACATGGAATAGTCGCCATGGAAATGATGACTGACAGGCGATCTTCAATGCGGTATAGTGTATAGTGTCTGATTAGTTGAAGAAGAGTTTAAGAATGAAGATAATCATGCCGAGAGCACAGCCGATCATTCGGACCACAAATTTCCAGGAGTTTATGTAGCTTGCTAGTAGGGTGCCGATAAATGGCGCCAGAAACATATTGTAGATACGCATTGCCCATTGCATGATTGCATGAGGACTCTTTAGGAATCCTGCATGAGATGTGTGCTGCATGAGTGATCTGTCATGATACTGTTATGTACATAGAATTTTGATGCTTAATGAATGTTACGCACTTTCAGTCGCCGTCGGAAAATCGTCAAACAACGATGTGATGGTCTTTAAGAGAATCTGTTCTCCAGATGAGGAAGTAAATAGTTAGGCAGTATGATTAGAGACGGATGTTAGATGGTCGGGTAGAGAGATATCGTGCACTTGAGATTGAAGAATGTTTCTTAGTTTGCTTCAGTAAAATTACCAGCACTATGCCTCCCGGTTTGATTGGCGACTCGACAAATACTTGAGCTTTCCTGCACGCCATAGTTCTGTGTCTGTGACTATCGTTGTTCCATATGCATTTATGCAAGAAATTACGTTGAAGATGTCAGAATTGTCACCTAAGGACCAGTCTCTCTCCATCTTTTGAGCATTCATAGAAGCTGCAGCCTCTTGTGAAAGGTATCTCATTTCCTCTCCATTCTGCTGCAACGAGTCGAATACCTCGAAGTTAGGCAGTTTAGAATTGTGCAGGTAAATTTGGGAAGCGAAGCAGAGTGAGTACCTAGGTGCCAATTTACCCACGCCGTTTCCTCGTCATCGCTGATGTGTTTGGGGTTGAATTTGACATTCTTGCCCATGCTGGAAGTGAGTTGTGCAAAGAAGAGCAAGACCTCCTGCGTTAACTTTGGCTTAGGCCACTCAAGAAAGGAGCATTAGACAAGAATAGCGATAGCAAGACGGGGATCCTCTACTCCGTACAGCGCATGCTGCCTTCAGTGTCTCGATAAATCGCAATCATTGATTTATGGAGATGAGGCTGTTATCAACAATTGTGTGCAATTTGTCGAGACACCGGAGGGAGCACAGTGTGGAGCAGCGGATCCTGCCACTAACTAGTACACACGAAACCTTTTTCCCCTTGAATGGTGTGGGAAAGGAGAAGTCCTCAAAGCAGCAATCTTCCGAGATGATCTCATCCAGCGCCTTGAAGTTTTTCTCATTGATGCATTCATACAGTTGCATTGCTCTCTCGCCCGGAGAGCTTGATCTCGGCATGGGGTGAGTTTCACTTGTCGAAGTAAATACTTGGGCGAGCTTGCGGTGATTATGAATTTGGATGCCTTGCGTCTTGATCTCCTTTCGAGCAAATGGGGATCTCCTCTTGAAGATTGAAGTGTTGAGGGCAATGCCGCCGTCTCTGACGCTGGAGGTTGTGCGTGAACGGCACGACAAGTGGAGACGAGAGAAGGTGATGGTGTGAGCCATTTTGCCTCCAGGGCCAAGATGGGTCGAGTTATTACTCGAACGGCGAGATTAAAAACAAAGGAATGACTTGAAGTATATGAGAAATGAATTGAGTGACTGAATGGAGCAAAGAATAAAGCTGACTCTTGCTTTGTACTCACATATGCTTGATCATACGCGTCCATGTTCCTTCCCTGGTATGAAATCAAGGAATCTGAACATGGAAGGACCGAGTCCACGCAGAACCGGCAAGTAGACGTTAGTCATGGCCATCCAGGAGATGTATGAACATCTGACAGAAATACAACAGCCTTCTTGCCTACGCTTCACAGATTGCATCTAAGTTAATGTATGTGGATCTTAGTCAATTAAATTTTTTTTTCAGAAAAGGACACTCGAGCTGACCAAAACGCAAACTTTGCAAAAAAACTGCGAATGTCGGACGACCTAGAAAAAAAACTTGCATGAACAACACCTAGATAAATCATGAGATGCGTCTGCAATGAGTAACTTGAAAGGAGGATGCAAAATCGTGAGTTGAAATGATGAAGATGAAACAGTCGCAAAGATCAGCAAAACTCATGGCAAAAATTGCAGTTCTCATCCAGATCTGTTATTCTCCAATGGTACAGGCTGGAGATTTCTTGTGACAATATGAAGTACAAATCTAAAGAGTCTATGACAGTAATGTGACTCCTCGTAGGCTTATTCCCTGCCTAGGTTACTAGTTCAAGGTTGAATACACAAGAAACCAATGCGGTTCGCCAAATAATTTGTTGGGCAAAACTGACGGGAGCTTCTCTTCCAAAATCAAATTGCGTTGGTCGATATTCGACCAATCCTCTACAGTAATAAACAAAGCATCCCCGCTTCAATATTCACTTTACAAGAAGTAGCAGCTCATAGAAATTTACTGAAAAGCTAACAGATCAGCTCCACTGACGAGGGACAACCAGGTTAAGATTCTCTTCGTGAAAGCATTTGTCCATATAACTCTTGCAGCTTCATTAAGATTTTCCCTCTATCTGGGTGTGATTGGTCATCAGCGAAAAAGAAGTTTACAGTTCCCTTAACCTGAATCCAGCTTGAACCAGGTTCCTTCACCAACATCTTTTCTTTCATCTCGCTCCTCAATTCCCTAGCAGTGCTCCAGTTCCCTGCTGCAGCATTTATATTTGATAGTAGAACGTAAGCAGAATCGTTTTCAGGTTGCAGCTCCAGGAGCTTCCTACCTGCAAGATTCCCGAGGTCAACATCTCCATGAAGGTGGCAGGCAGAAAGGAGAATTTGCCAAATCCGCGCATCGGCATTCATGGGCATGGTATCGATCATTCTCTTTGCATCTTCCATGAGGCCAACCCGACCAAGCAAATCAATCACACAGGTATAATGCTCCACACTTGGAACTACCCCGTGAAGTTCAAGCATAGAGTTTAAGTAAGTTTGCCCTTCTTCCACCAACCCAGCATGGCAGCATGAATGAAGTACTGCAAGATAAGTTATCTCATCAGGTCGTAATCCAACTTGACACATTTCATGGAATAGCTTCATAACTTCACGGTCACAACCGTGTTGAGCATACCCCATCATCATGGCGTTCCGAGCAACCAAATTATATCTTGAGATATTTTTATAAGCCTTCTCTGCATCGTTTATGCTTCCACACTTGCAATAGACATCAATAATGGCACTTTCTATAAAACTGTCTTGATCAAACCCATTCTTGATAGAAAGGCAGTGAATTGTTCTCCCTTGTTCTAGATCTGTTAAAGCTCCACAAGCTTTAAGGAGGATGCTAAGAGTCATGCTATCTACTGCAATGCACGAATGCCACGATCTTTGAAACAAAACCAGAGCATCATCATGATATCCAGTGCTCACAAAGGTGACCATCAACGAATTGAGATGCAATGCCTTGATTCGGTCAAGCTTAGCAAATATTTTTCTAGATTCATCGACCCTGTTGCATTTTCCATAAGCAGTAATCAAAGCAGAGACCATGGAATCATCGAACATCAAACCGAACTTAATCATTAGGGAATGAATTTGTGCTGCCAACTCTTGCAAATTTGAGTGGGCAACCACTTCAAGGATGCTTGCTAAAGCATAGCTATTTGGCAACACCCAACGAGAGCGCATCTTTGAGAACGCTTCAAGACACTGACACAGAAGATGATTCTCAGAATATGCAGCAATGAGGGAGTTCCACGAAATAGGATCTGGGAGACGCATTTCATCAAATACAAGCATGGCGTCAACAATCTGCCCCACCTTTCCATACAAGGAGATCAATGCATTTCCAACTGAAACCAGTTGCATATGTCCCCTTTTGAAAGAAAGAGCATGGATTTGCTTCCCAAGATTAAAAAACTTCACATCTATTATTTGCGACAGTAAGTTGATCACCGTGAATTCGTTAACCATGACACCTTTAGAGTGGAGCAATTTAAACAATTCGGAAGCTTCGACGCCATCACAAGCAGCAAAAATCCTTTCCGACCATGAAACAACGTCCGGCTCAGAAATTTCATCAAACGCCTTGACAGCATCTGCTTGGCTTCCACACCGCGAATACATATGCATTATCGAATTACTCAGGTGCAACGAACATCCAGACAACAAACCCATCTTCAAACCAAACCCATGAACCTGTCCTCCTTCCCTACCGTCAAGCAAAGCACCGAGAACAGCGGTCATGCTATACTCGTTCACCTCCAACCCCAACCCGCGCATTTCCACAAACAGCTCCTTCGCACTATCAAACTCCCCATTCCACACATACCCACTAACCATAGCGACCCAAACCACATTATCCACTCCCTCACAGTCCTCAAAGCACTTCTCCGCAGCCCCAACCTCGCCGCCACCGGCATAATTCTCCACGAGCCCGCTCACCACATAAGCGCTCGCAGAGAACCCGTACTTCAAGCAAACCCCATGAACGATCTCGTTCTCCCAAACGCTCCCACAAGCCTTGACCAAGGAACTGAAGGTGTACGCATCGGGGCAGAGGCCCCGAAGCCTCAGCTCGTCGAGAAGGGCGAGGGCGGGCCCGGGGCGGCGGAAAGAGGCGAGGCCGGAGATGAGGGCGTTGAAGGCGACGGCGTCCGGGGAGCGGGTGTCGGAGAGGAAGAGGGAGGAGCGAGGGAAGTCGCCGCTCCTGGCGGAGCGAGCGATGAGGGGCGTGGAGAGGAAGGGGTGGAGGGGGTGGCCGGACTTGAGGAAGAGAGCGTAGGCCTGGTCGGTGAGGAGCGGGGAGAGCGCGGGCGGCGCGGCGACGGCGAGCTCGAGGGCTCGAGGGATGAGGGATCGGGAGACGAGGGACTTGATGCAGTCGGCGGCGAGCGGCTTCATGCATGGCGTCCACTGGCGTCGCCGCCTCCGTCGCCGCCGCCGCCGTCGCCGCCGCCGCCGAGAGTAGCTGGGGAAGAGGCGTTCCCGCGAGAAAGAGGAGCCCGTTTGAACTGTGGCTTCGAAGCCGACTGCTGCCCCTCTTTTTCAAAGAAAATGAACTTTTCCAAATATTCTATTCTAATTAAAAAGTATTATGAACAAATTTATATACCAATCTTTTTTTTTGGTCGAAAAATTATATACCAATCTACAAGCATATACTTTGAAAGAAATGAGATTTTGATACGTAAAAATCTATGTAAATTTTGATTTAAATGTTATACAGATCATATACATATATATGTGGTACGTATTCTAAAAAATTTGAATATACAAGTTTTTTCCTCTCCAAATTTCACGCTAATCTAAGCTAGATTAAGAGTGACATCATTGTATTACGCGGATTCTTAGCTATCTCATAAAATTTTAAGTTCTCTATCGAACATTTGGTGTCACATCTGATTCCAACTACTATAAGGGAGATATTTCGATATAGCTGATCAAACGGGTTCGACCGTTGATAAGTTGGAGGGAGTTCCCATGAACCGCTAATCATTGGAATTAAGTAGCCTCACAAAATTTTTTCGTCTTCCCAACTCAATCAACATTCATAAAAGAAAAAAAAAACCTACTAAAATAAATTCGAAAATGATCGATACATTTCTCGAAACAAATAATTCTTTTGGTTCATTAGCGTCAACTTTCGGTTCGGTTCGGTTCGGTTCTAATTTCGGACCAAAGGCCACTATTGACAGGCCCAAACCACAAAAGTGTGAACAGTTTGTTTTCCATGCTCTCCGGCATTTGTCTCCTGTCCTATATAGCCAAAGAGGAGGGGCCAAACTCTCCACTAGGGGTGAGCATGGTTTGGATGGGCGGTTCTTACCCCGGAACCGTGGACCGCCCGCTAAGGACCGGTTCTAAAAAATTGGAACCGAGAACCACCCGTCGGTTCCATGGACCCACCCGAGAACCGGATCGCCGGTCCGGTCCGGTTCCTGGGTGGGTCCATGGAACCAATCCCACTAAGTTTCCCTTGACAAATCAGAAAATCGACCGGTCTAATTCTTGCCCGTTGGTGGGTTGTGTTCACAACAAGATTCGTCACAAAGTTCACAACTTCACAAGCTTCACAACAAATACATCCGTAGGCTATAGAATATATAACACCTGGGAGTTTACCACAAGTTCACAATAGTCAACAAGCAAACAAAACAACAACTCTCCTATTTTATTTTATTTTTTAAATTTTTTTTGGTCAGATTTTTTTAATTAAAAATTTTAAAAAATAAAATATATTATTATTATATTACCGATCCGGTCCGGGTGGGCGGGTGGGCGGGTCCACACCGGGAACCGAGAACCGGACCGGTACCCACTGGCTCCAAAAAATTGGAACCGGGAATCGGACCGGTTCCCTTGGGAACCACCGGTTCCGGTCCGGTTCCGGGCGGTCCCGGGCGGTCCGGACGGATCCCGGTTCTTTTGCACACCCCTACTCTCCACCCCTTTTTACCATCCCTGGTCAACAGTCAACTTGTTTGCATGCCACCTCCATGTGTCCCGTGTGACAGTGACTTGAATGATGAACTCTTGAGATTAGCAAATCCTATCTTAACTCCCACGAGTTCGATTTGGTCATATGTGAATGAGAAAACGGAACTTATAAACCCAATGAACGATATTCACTAAATTTCGAGAAAATTATTCAAAAAGTCTTAAATTTATTATATTTTGGTCAATTCAGTTATAAACTTTTCAATTTTGTCAATTGAGTCCTAAACATTTTCACGTTTTACTAATTGAGTCTATCCGATCAATTTTCACAGGAAATCGCTAATGGGAATGATAGCCGTCTTATGTGGCACGGGGCCGGCGCTCACATGTACAATTTTTATAATTTTTTTTTATTTCTCTATGGCATGGACCTCACCGA